GAAATCCTATTATGATCGTCTTCATAGGGGGTGAGCTGGAGGAGGTGAATTTTTCCTACCAAGTTGACTTGGAAAATACAGGTAACTCCTAAGATGGCCTTTTCCATGTGGAGGCTGTCCAAGGATACATTTTAACTCTAGACAACCTCATCAAGAGGGGGAAAATTTTTGTCAATGGTTGCTACCTATGTATGAGAGAATATGAGAGAAGTTAAGTTCTGCAATCAAATTCTTTTGTGGTATTTGTTTGTTCATCGACTATAGTGTTTGGGTCATTGTCTTTTGGGTGTAAGATTGGGCCATTTCCGGATCTATGAAGGAGTTGTGGTTGGAGTGGTATTCATGGGGATAAGATATTGAGACTCATTTCGTTGGCTACCTCTTGAGTGATTTAGAAAGAGCAAAATAGAAGGGCGTTTGAGGGTATTGAATCTAATTTGGTAATCTCAAGGATACATGGTTCCATACCTAGAGTTTTTTGTTAAGTGGGTCACCGCTGTATTCTAATGTGGATATTGGAGACTTTGTAGACATTTGATTAGTCTGTAAATATCGTATATGGGTTGCATTCTCTTGGTGTTGTTGAATGTGTTTGTATATATATATGTACACTTTTTATTTCAAAAAAATTGATACATGCACCACAATGATACATGTATGAGACTTTTCAATGATAATTGAACCTAGATATATCAATATGCATTAATACGCATATGCATGAACCTATATCTAGATCTTTCTTTCTCATCCTTCTAGAAAACATCAAAAGTTATGATACAGTATTTTACTTAGATTAAATCATTTACAACAATCCCTTACTTCATTCATATTAAGTATTTTAGCATGACTTCACCCCCAAACATCTGAATGGGATGAACATAAAGTGATGCTCTCATTTATTATTTAGTGCATGAAGCAGTTGCCTTTCAATTAGGCTTTTTAGCTTCATTAGGTCTATATTTTGTTTTAATTCTTAATGCCATTGGACTTTCAAATTTGTGCTTAATGTAGGAATTGAATGGAGTCTTGATAATGATGCATCCAATGCTGCTGTCTTGGTTGCTAGTGAAGCACATGCAGTAACATTAGCAATTGAAGGTTTGTTGGGTGTTATTTTTACAGTAGCAACACTGACAGATGAAGCTGTAGATATTGGTGAGGTATATTCCCTTTCTGAGCTATGTTTTTGAATTCTTAAGGTTTTTTCTAACATGTCATGCTTTTGATTTCTTTTTTTCCTGTTTTGTTCATTAATGAATTTTGTTTTCTCTTGGTACATCCAGCTTGAGTCCCCCAAGGGTGACTATGATCCTTTGGCAAGACGGACTGGGAAAACTGCAGTTCTTTGCATGGCAATGGTGGATTCATTGTGGTTGACCATACTTGACGCATTGTCTCTTATTTTGTCAAGGTATGGGGAAATGGTCTTTGAAGGATGATAATAGTCTTAGAAGGAAAATGAAAAAAACTATATGTGCAACTAATTTGACCTTATTTTGGAAGGTCTCAAGGAGAGGCAATTGTATTGGAGATACTAAAGGGGTATCAGGCATTCACTCAGGTACTATAATTTTGATATAGAGAGTTAAAATATGACATGGCTGTCATGTAACTCAGTTAAACCTAATCTTATGTTGGCAAATGGCTTCCTTCTTATTTTATCACACAAAATATATGGCAAATGTGTAGCATGATTATTCTCCTTAGTTACCATGATAAAGTGATGATAATTTCCTTTGGTATTTAATAGGCGTGTGGAGTTCTTCAGGCCATAGAACCTTTGAACTCTTTTCTGGCATCTCTATGCAAATTTACCATCAATTTTCCCAATGAAGTGGAAAGAAGAAGGTACTAAATGGAGAAATGTTGTTTGCAGGTTGTCTTTCTCTAGGACTATATTTTATGTAACTTCTACCGAGGCCATGACAGTTTTTTTAATATATAATACACGGTTACTTGTTTTGTTCTTCTGCTTCTTTTGAGACGTTCTTGTATTTGCTTGAGTGATTTTATTTAACTTCCAGTTCTCTAGAAAACTGCTAATACCATCGAGATGCTCACTTGCATTTGGTAGGAATTGCAATACCAAGAGTTGAATTGGTGACCTCTTAAACAATAGAACATTCTCGTATACCTTTTATGGTTGATGGCTAAGAAAATGTGAATTTGGAAGTCCTTAGGTAAAATGGAAGCCAAATTAATCATACAAGTCCAGATAAAACTTGAATAGTAAGTGATTTAGAAAGCTGTCATTGATTCTGAGTAGAAGAAAGCATTAAAACAGATTGATAACCATCCAAGTCCAATTATGCTTGCAAATTGTTTTTGAAATGCTCCATCTCTAATACAATTGGATTTCTCCTTCTGAAAAAAAGAAAATGAAATTAAATTTCGTCTTTTGGAAAGAAAAAAAAAGTGTAATTGGATTTATTAAAGACTTCTAGTATGAATGGACTCTGTTGATACATGATGTTTTGAGTTGCTATTTGTTGCGTGTATGCAGCAATTACTGATATGATCTAGTTTTTGAAATGCTCATCTCTAATATAATTTGATTTTTTCTTTCTGAAAAGAAGAAAATGAAATTGATATTTCTTCTTTGGAAAGAAGAAAAAAGAGTGATTGGATTTATTAAAGACTTATAGTATGAACTGCCTCTGTTGATACATGATGTTTTGAGTTGCTATTTGTTACATATATGCAGCAATTATTGAGCTGATCTAGTTTTTTCTTGTTACATGTTTTTCACCGCATTTCACGCTTCCTTTCTAGCCTGTTTTTCCTTTTCCTTCTTAATTTTCTTGACATATAAATGGCAGTATTAGTTTTTTCTAAAAAAAATTCAAGGTTCAATTCCAGCCCTCTGATAAATTTGAATTTGGGTTGTAATTGAGATTACAGCTATGTTTTACAGTCTCCTGGGTCAAAACGTTCTGATGTACTTCCAGATCAGAAGGATAGCGTTGTCCTTACACCGAAGAATGTACAGGTACTTGTTCATCCTTTTTCTTTTCACATTTTATTGATATATTATTTTTTAATAAATATTTTATTGGGTGGCTATTGATTTCTTGGTTTTTATTTCTTTTAAAACTTAGGCTTTAAGAACTCTCTTCAATGTTGCACATCGATTACACAATGTATTGGGGCCATCCTGGGTTTTGG